TATATATATATATATGTTTTTTTTTTTTGACAAATAGTAAATATCATTAAAAAATGAAAGTGAGATTTTACAGGAATAGTTTAACCTATATAATGTTCACGAAAGCGTTAAACGGGCGGTGATCCAATGCCTAGAGCCTAGAACGCCTAATCGGAGCTTAGGCGATTTAATAGGCGGTTTAAACGTTTTACAAAAATACATAATATATTAGATATATATAATAAAATATATAAAAAACCATAATTTATAACTAATAAAATTTATATTGTATTTATATTCATCATTTAATAGCTAAATATATAAAATTTTACAATTTATATATAAAAAAAATTATAGTATTTTATTATAATAATACCATAATATTTTAGGCGGCAAAAACGATAATCGTCACGGTCTATAGGGGCCTAGCGTCTAAGCGCCACCTAGACGAACGCCTAAAACGCTTTTTAGAACACTGAACCTATATTATGAAGTCTTGCCCAACAAAATATTTTTAGAAAAACAAGGGTACAATTGAAATTTAAGGAAAGAGAGATTTCCTTATCGAATCCAAAAAGATCATTAGATCACGGTGAAAGACAATTGGAATATATTCTCATAGGTTGAATCTAATAAGGGCTCGTTGACAAAAAATAATGTAAACGGATATGCTTAGAACATTTGTTTTGCTTGACTTATTATACCATTAGTTTTCACTTCCCCAATAGTTTCACAGGAATAGAGTCAAATGGTGCAAATGGATATACCTACATGAGTAGCAAACAGAAAGTAAAAGTTCGACCATAATACACAGAAATATTAAAATTGGAAAAAAGAAAGTGTATAGGTTCATAACAAAACAAAAGTTTAGAGTATTAAATAGCTTATCGAAATTTAGTTTAAGATTTTTTATGGAATTTTCGTGTAATTCATCAGAGCATTGATAGTTTTGTATCAATAAGCCGGATTTGGAATTCCGTTGTTCTATTGAACTGTTTTTAGTATCTGCAGCGAATCATTTGCTTTTGTTCAAGATTGGTTTTACATTTGATGAGTGGGTATTGTAGCATCTGATTGAGGTTTCTCATAGACTGAGTTGCAGTTCTTGTGTGTTTAAATGAATCAGTACCTTGCTCTTACTCAAACTCGTGTGATTTGATATGGTCTTTGTCCTTCACCATCTATATGTTCCTTGTCAGGGATATGCTTCATGAGCATACAGATTTAGAGAAGCATTGCATTCCCCTAGAAATCTGAAGACTCCATTTCATTGGTAAATCCCATATCACTGAAATAGGCTTATGATCCGATATCAAAACACAATTTAATTATGGTCTTTTTTTTGGCAAGTACTTGTCGCCATAACTCGTTCGAAGGACTACATGATCTTTTGATATATGGTAAGTTGGATTATAATAATGATCTGTACAAATTTTGCAACACTTTCTCTACAAGGGAAAGACACTCTCTACTGCATCTCCTTATACTACGAGCATGCAAGTTTCGACAGTTGCTCATTTCATAACCATATTTAAACCTTCCTCAATTTTATTTGAGGGGTTCTTGTCTACTTAAGTTAAAACTGTAACCTCTTGTAAAATTACCTCTTCTTGTATGTAGATCAATCTTTCTTTTGAAACAAGAACTCACTGAGGCACGGAGATAGAAGCACCACTCATCTGTTCCAGTTTCAAGGGAGGTTGGCTTCCGGTTGGGGATGGTACTGGACTACTGATTGCTATCACAGAATGTGTTGCTTCTTCAGCAAGTGTTCTTAATCTGTTTAGCTCTGGCAATATAAATTTAGCAAGATCAGGTCTGTCTTTTCGCCTTAGCTCTGCGCATTTCAGAGCTAACTTAGCAAACTCTGCGGTATCCTCAACTGGCCAATCAGGCACAGCTGGATCGAGTAAATCTGCCAAAGTCCCTTTCTCGAGTGCTCTTTCGACATAATGAGTGAGACCCATTGGTGGTTTTGCTGTTATTAACTGCAGAAATATAATGCCGAGCGAGTAAATATCAGATTTCACACCCAACATTCCTGTTTGTTGATACTCTGGGTCGATGTAACAGAACGTGCCAGCGGTTGAAGTCATCCGGTATTGTGTCACCGTGTCTGCTACTGATGGAGGAACTAATCTGGCTAAACCAACATCAGATATCTTGCTGACAAAGTTACGGTCTAGCAAGATGTTTCCCGGTTTAAGATCACGGTGAACCAGAGGCTCAGGTTTGGCCTGGTGTAAGAACAATAGTCCAGTACCGATCTCTGCAGCGATTCTGAACCTCGTCTGCCACGAGAGAGGCGGGCTATTTCCTAATCTGAAAAGGCGGTCTTCTAAGCTCCCGTTGGCCATGAACTCGTATACTAAGCATCCACATTCAGGGCAAGCTCCAAGAAGTAGAACCATGTTAGGATGCCTAATGCAGCTCAATACCTCAACCTGTGTTTAAATTTAATCAAACAAACAAACAAACTCACTCTAAGATGTGAAAGAAACAGAGGAATTACGAGAAAAGTGAAAATGTTGATTACAAAGAATTCCTCACCTCTTGTTGAAACTGAGATCTTCCTTGAGCTGCATCTGGACGAAGAACTTTGACAGCTACTGGAGTGTGATCAAGATAACATTTGTAGACAGGTCCGTAACCACCTTCTCCAATCTTGTATTTCTCAGCAAAATACTCCGTGGCACGCTCAATCTCTTCAATGGAGTACTTTCGATACCTTACATCTGAGTTTGCTAAAGCGGTAAGGGCCTTTGTCTTCTCCTCAGACTCCTTGAGAGCTTTCATTTCCGCGTTAACTCTCTTCTTTGCCTCTAATTCAGCAATCCTTTGTGCTGCTTCAGCTGCCTCCATAGCTGCTTTGGACTTTGCTTTCTCTTTCTCTGCAATGGCCAATGCTGCTTCTTCTGCAAGTCTTGCCTCTTCTAGTTTCCTCTCTTCTTCTAGCTTCCAACGCTGAAGCTCTGTCGCCTGCAATTTCCAACACGTTAAAAAACAAAACTGAAACCAAAAACACACTTTGTTTCGCAGAAAACCGTACCTTCTGTTTTGCTGTTAGTGCTTCTTTGCAAGCTGTACTGTACATTTCCATAGTCTGCTTCAACTCCAATTTAAGCCTCCTCATCTCAGCCTCTACATCATCCTGCATTTGATAATTTCAAATGATTCTAGTTACTGATCAAACACAAGATTTTACGGTATGATTTAACGGTCTTACCATTGCTGAGGCGGATGAAAATCTTTCGCTCTCAAAGGAGCCTGTTGAAAAATCAGTAGGTGAGCATATATCCACTGATCTCCTTCCATAGTTGGAGGACTCAAAGCTAGGACCAGAGTCCATATCTGAGATATTCGACAGCCTAGGCGGTGTTCGGTTTGGATCATTATTATTGTCATACAGATTAGGGAAGATACGGTCAATGCTTGGTCTTCCGGAACTGACAAAGGATATGTCTGATTCCGGAACAGATAAATCTCCGTATGATCTCCCATTGCCTCTTCTAGTAAAAGGAGATCTGTTTTTAGCCATGAGGGTTTCAGTTTCCTAAGTCTTTGAGTTTTCAAGATCAATGTCCAAATGAAAACACTAGAGAAATGTTACCTGAATGACTCTGATTGATCCTCCATCGACCTGCGTTGCTGATCCTCCATCGACCTGCGTTGCTGATCCTCGATAGACCTTCGTTGTTGAGTCTCGAAAGACCGTCTCTCAGCTACAGGAAGAGAAACATAAACTCATAATCAACAAGTGAAAGAATCGGAAAAAAGAAGAGAAGTTTTGTGTTGTTTTTATATTACTACAACCTCGCATGTTAGTGGAAGTAGAAGGCACAGGTTGAGGTGGCTTTAAGCTAGGTGGTTGAACCGGACTGCGTAGAGGAGCATTCATTGGTGCAGAGCGAGAAGCAGATCTCATTGTTGAAATCTTTCCTTTGGATATGACATAAACCGTGCAGAAATCAGGTGCGTTTTTCGATATCGCCCCGGGAATATCTGTAGGCTTGTTGAACCTGCATATCAGGTAATCCAACATTAATGGAGAATCAAGATTCAACAAAAGATGACGAAGGCGAAGAAGAGGGTTAATTTCTACCTGAGAAAGCCACCTTTGGAGGAGGAACCAACCACCAAAACCTCAATAGCGGCCTGGTTTGCATATTCGACTAATGCTTTGGCTACATCAAACTCCTCAAGCAACACATCTTGGCATTGAATCTGTAGAACTTTTATAAGCATACAAAGAAAAGCGGAAAAAACAGAGAAGAACCTAAACCGAGAAACTCACATCTTTGCGCGTGCAGAAGCAACGAAAAGGAAGGAATAACTCCTTGGAAGCCCCTTCAGGATCTCTACAAACCAATGAACTATCTTGGCTCAGCTCTGAAACAAAAACACAAACCATCAGAAACCGAAGAAAACAAACAATGAGTGGATTGGCCCAAAGTTTCAAGGTCTCATTTGGGATATTCCTCACAACAAGGCAAGC